GTGTTGGGCATCTGGTGCTCGTAGTACTTTTGCGTGTACAGCCGGTAGCACTTGCCCGGTCGGGTTCGGCCCGCCCGACCGGCTCGCTGCGTGGCCTGGACCCTGGTACAGGGGTTTTGGGGGCGGGGAGGGCATCAGCGTTCCCAGCTGGTGGAGCTCGGGTGGCCCAGGCACGCCACGGCCCCCTCACACTTTCACTACTTCGTCATGTGTACTCCCTTTGGCATGCATGCGCTTGAACACAACGACTTCTCGTCCATCCGACCCTGCACCAAGCCTGCTTACCCCTGCCCCAACCCCTCCTTCCCACCTGGAGATGGGTCCAACCTCCAGGCGGTCCAACCCCGTGGCGGGATTGAAGTCCTTCTGCTTGGACATGCCGGGGTCAATCACGTACACCACCCCCTCCACGGTGACGGAGGTCTCTGCGATGTTTGTGGCCACAATGCAGCGCCGGGTGCCGGGCGGGGCGGGGCGGAACACCCTGGCCTGCGCTGGAGGGCGGGAGGGGGGGGATTCAGGCGCCAGCGGGACCTGTGCCAGCCTCAGGCACGGGCCCTGGGCAAGGGGAGGGCGCCGCCGGCCACTGCGCCGTGCGCCTCATCATCATTACCAAGGGTGCCCTGCACCCTCGCGAGGCCGCCGCGCCCTTCTCACACTCAAGATCCGACCCTTGCCTGCATGTCTGGAGGCAGCGCAGCGTAGATGGGGAGCACCAGCAGGTCCCCCGCCGCATCGGCCGGCAGCGCGCGCACTGCCGCATTCAGCTGGCACACCGCCTTGTCGATCTCGGCCTGCCCGGTCAGGAAGACCAGGATGTCACCTGGGGGTGTCGAGGTGGAACGAGGGATTCACCCAGAGTGCCCGCAGCCTGTGACTGGAGATGCATTACAGGCCCGCACCTCTCCAGCGCCTCAGCATGCTGCCCCGTTCCTCCCCCCCACACCCACCCTCCGACTGGTTGCAGTGGATGTCCAGGGCCGTGTCCACCGCGGCCTCCAGGTAATCTGCGCTGTGATCGTCCAGCGAATGCACAATCTCCACCGGGAAAGCGCGGCCAGGGACCTCGAACACGGGGCAGGCACCGTAGTAGGCTGAGAACTTCTCGCCGTCCAGGGTTGCAGAGGTGATGACCAGCTTGAGAGGGGGGTTCCTGGCCAGTGTGAGGGTGGGAGGAAACCAGGGCGGTTTCAGGGACTGCTAAGCGGAGGCTCGCCAAGATGGAGGCCCACGGGCACTCCTCCTCCTGCAAGCCATCCGCTGAGGGGCAGAGAGAAGCACATTGACGGCCCCCCGCTTTCCCCTCCCCCTCTCCGCTGGCCATCAAATCCCGGGGCCGCACCTCCTGGCCACCAGGTTCTTGAGTAGGGCGAAGAGGACGTCGGTATTCAGTGACCGCTCGTGGGCTTCATCCAGCACGATCACACCGTACCACGAGAGGGAAGGGTCGTGCAGGAGCTCGCGGAGCAGCGTGCCATCTGTCACGGTCGGGGAGGGCGTGCCCTGGTTGATGGCGATACCCGCAAGTCCCCGAAGAGCATCCACGGGCACTCAACGGTTGAGCGCAGACTGGGCCACCCAGGCAGGTTGTGTCCCGCTGCCATTGCCTGCCTGGCAGCGTCCCAAGGCCAGCATGGGGTGAGCGAGCACGGCCGTCCCTTCCCCTCCCTTCTTCAAACCCACCTGTCAGGTACTTGATCGAGGTCCTGCGCGAGCAGCACTCCTCGAACCGCACCGCATATCCCACCTCCTGCCCCACATCCACCTTCCTCTCAAAGGCCACCCTCCGCGCGACGGTGACGGCAGCCTGGGTTTAATTTGGGGGGGGGGGGGGGCCAAGCAATGGAGCAGCCGGTGCCTGCCTGCACTCAAGGGCGAAGAATCGAGGCACCCTCAGGCATCCAAGGGCCGCTCAGGGTCAGACAGACCACCAGTACTCACCACTCTCCGTGGTTGGGTGACGCCCACCATCCCGCCCGCCCCCAGTCCGGCATCCAGCAGAATCTGCGAGATCTGGGTGGTCTTCCCAGACCCTGTTTCGCCGATGACCACCACGACGGCATTGTCCCTCACGGCCTCGGCAATCGGAGTGGCAAATCGGCGTATGGGAAGCTCGAGCGGGTCCATGCCGGGCCAGCTGGGCTCCGCCGTGATCGAGGCCAGGCCGTGAAGAGGGAGTGGCACGAGCCGCAGCCCAACGGTGGGCCCCTCACCCCCTCAAGAGTGCTTCGATGAGACTGTACATGGAAATGGATCGTCCTTGTAATAATTTACAATAAAGGCAGATACATGCAGCCGTCTCTGGGTGCACCTGACGCATTATGCGCGCTGTCGAGGGGTGATGGAGAGGGCCAGATGAACAATTTGCGCTCAAATTCCATGCGTGATAGGAGATTACATCTCATTCTTCCACACGTCCTGAGTGGGTGGTGAGTAAGCCGGATAGTGGGGCCAGAGCCAAGCTATCTAGTAAAGCAGGGAGGTGGGGAAATAGATGAGGCCGTAAAGGAATCTTGGAAGCCTAGTCTCGACAAACTCTTCAATCCGTAGTCGCTCACAATCTTAGGCACAGTACCCTTGCCAAGTCCTTTAGGGCACGTGCACCGTCCCTGGAAGGAAGGGATTCTCCTCTGACGGCTTCATGTGGGAGAAGGCGTGGTTCACATGGCTGTGGCAGGCCTGTGAGAGGGGGAGTGTGACACCCGCATGAGGCACGCATCAGCAGAAAGGGAGGCGGGGGTGCGAAGCACGGCCTAGCAAGATGGGCTGCCTGATGCGGTCTGGGAGCCTGAATCTGGGAGGCCCAAACATACCGCCCCGGCCTGAGCATGGCTTAGGAAACATTTCCCTCACTGCAGGAACCGCGTCCTCCCCTCATTCAGCATCCAGCCCACCTCATCGGCCCTGACAGCCAGCAGGAGGTCCCTCATGGTGGCATCAGGGCTCAGCTGCCAGTACTTGATGGCGATTTCAGGCAAGGCCTTTTTCTCCCACTGCGGGATTAAGCCAGCGTCAAGGTCCTGGCAGGGGAAAGGGGACGAACGGATGGGGTTTCCCGGTATGGACAAGGGGCGCAGAGGGAGCACTTCCCTGCGACGAGTCCAGGCATCCCCCTCTCGGCCACGTGGCATGGGCGCATACCGGCAGCCTGTACCATCCTCCGTACCGCACCTTGATGCAGCGGGTGTAGGTCTTGACTGCCTCTTCCTCCAGATACCTGTTCGTACAAGCCCAGGGGAGCAGTTTGTAAGTAGCAGTGAAGTGACGAGACGAAGCATCCCCCACATCACGAGTTGGTAGGGTGTCTTCCTGCACGAGTGAAAATGCATACCTGCACAAGTGAAAATGCACCTTCTTCCCATCAGACAGTCTGTGCAGTGCACTCACCCGACAAAGCTGTGGCAGGTGCGGGGTGAGATGGTGTAGGCAAGGAGGTAAAAGTTGAGGAACACGCCTGCAGCATGTGATGGAGGGGGACGACCTAGCCTCTGGCCATCTCATCGCGCCGGGGGGGGGGGGGGGGGGGGGCTCTGGAGAATGAGGCGGCTCGTGCCAACCAAGACATGGCATCGCCAACTCTTCTAGCAGGTAGAATTCCCACACTCAAGGCATACGCTGGCCGCTGCCTGTGCAACTGATGCAGCTCCAACCCAGCGCCTGGCCCATCCGCCACGCACCCTGGCCGAGGAGCACGGTGCCCCTCATCAAGGGCCCAGGCTCCCTGAACTGCAGGAAGGTCAGGAGGTGCATGCGCTGCACAGGAAAGGGGGGGGTTGGGAGGGAGATTCGGGGACATGTTACGGGATGGCCGGTCAAACTCCCTGGGATGGCACACACATGCATGTGCCTTGAAGAGCAGTGCCAGGGGACGATGTCGGCCTACTGGACCGCCAGAAGGGTGACCCATTGTTCCTGACACCCAAGGTGCCCGACTCTGCCCTAAACCCCCAGCAAGCCAGCCGAGCAGCCGCCCGCACCTCATTCTCTGCTTCTTCCAGCAGCGTGTGGATCCAGCCCCGGTCGCGCTTCATGGAGCGCAGGGAGCGCATGTGGCGCAGCATGCCTGCGACGAAGCCTGGAACGCCTGCAGGGGAGCGGCTCTTGAATGCTGTCGAGATTCAGGGTGGGCAGGCTAGACATGCGCGGTGTCATTATCCCACCCCATTATCCCATGCCTCGTACCCGCCACGGTCTCCAGGAACAGAATGCGGCGCAGCCACCTCTCCTCCGTCATCTGGTGGCCGTACCCGGTGGCCACATCGAAGAGGGAGCGCATAGCCTGCACCCCGTAGTAGCCCGCCTTCTCGAAGAAGGCCTTGGGTACCTGGTGGTGGGGCTCCACGCTCTCCACATACTCCTTGCTGTAGATGGGCTGCATGAGCCAGTAGCTCTTGTCCTTGCCACCCGCCTCGGGGGAGGAGGCGGTGGCACGCAGGCCGGGGTGGGGCATCACGTTGTCCGCGGCATTGTAGGTGGAGTGGTCCTTGGGGTCCGGGGTGCTCAGCTTTTCCGCAGACGCCGGCTGCGCGCATGGGGTGGGTGTGCGAGGAACCGTTGTTGCGAGGGGGGGGATCTGGATGACATGATCCCATGCGGGATGCATGCAAAGTTCAGCGGCCCATCTCTACCCAACCGGCCTGCACGATCCTCTCCTTGCCTGAGCCGAGAAGCTACGAGTTAGGAAGGTCGCACCGCCGCGACGCATTTCCCATAAACCCGCCGACTCCTGAATTGGTTTCCAGATGGCGGGGGCATTGCATGATCTGGTCAAGGTCCGGGAGATGGCTCGCAGCATACTGTGTGTGTTCAAAGGCCTAGGTGTCGATGGAATCTGGTACACACACGGGCGTGCTTCAAAGCACTCGATTTACGGCGCCGAACCCCCCAGGGTGCTGTGATGAGGTGTTTGAAAATGATGTATAGTCAAAACAATATGAGCTATAATGCTGTATTTTGTCTGGACCCCGTATGGATGTCACGGCGCCTCGGACCCCGCACTCACGAAGAGCGATGACGTTATATTAGGGCACATTGCCCCGGCGGGCTTTGACTTCGACCTCATCGCTTGGATTGTTCAGTTCTAGATCCACTCTCAAATCCCAGTCGGGGCATCTGCGTTCATTGCATTTTGGGGCATAGGACGTGCGCAATGCATGCCAGCTGATGCACTGTTCAGTACGAAGTCTCGACTTGCTCCTGACACGGTCAAGGGGGCAGTGCCTTTGTTAGAACCAGGCGTGTTATTCCATACAGTATGATTCGCGATACGCTCTCGGAGGACATAGACGAATGATGCATCCCGGGTTCTGGGTTCTGTATTGCCTCGAGCCCACAATCGACCGCATTTTCATGCCACATCTGTAAGTCCTCACCCGTCCGGATTACTGTTGGAAGCACTCGCCTCCGAGCACCAGCGGGCCGCGCATGACGCGCAGCTCAGAAATCCATGTGAATGTCCATGACGTCCAGCTGCAGGATGGTCACAGGCATGCCCAGCAGGTCCCCCAGGCACGGGACCGTGCGCCCCAGGTCGCCTGTACCAGGGACATTGCAATGAGATGGTGCTCACCTTCGAAAGGGGGCCGTTCATCAGCCTGCCCTTTCAGGGCCAGCCTGATTACTTCAGGCATCACTTTACAGCCAACATCTCCACACCCGCCCCTCACCGTGTACGAACTCCTTGACATACGTCCCCGATTGGGTGCGCAGGCCCAGCAGGAAGCACGAGGAGGACGGCACCGACCTCACGCGCATGCACACAACGGTCCGGGGTCGCACCAGGTTGGCCCGCCTGTGCAGCACCTGCACGTGAGGAAGCGGGGCACGTTTGCGTTGTCGCACAGCGCGGGCGCGGCCTGGGAATCAGGGTTCCCAAGCTTCCAGGAAGGCCTTCTTTGGTAGCTCAGGTGCCAGCGCACGGCAAGCCATGAACCACTCATGGCCGCAACCACACACGTAAATATCATCACCAAGGACCCCCTCCCCCAACCAAATACATGTCCACCCCCTCACCCGCATGGGCGTCTGCTGCTTAATCACCAGCCCCTGCCTCGCCTCCAGCTGCGCCACCTCCTGCTCGCCCACTGGACGCGGGGCCCAGCACAGGGCCACATACGACTTCTCCCGGTCCCCGTCCTCGGCCTTGATGGCAGCTACCTCGGCCGGGGTCAAGACGCGCAGGCCTCGCACGCCCACGCGCCCCGCCTCGGCCTCGTTGATCCCACGCTCCAGGTCCAGGCAGGCGCCATGGTCCGGCGGCGCGCGCCCCGCGTCCCGCAGCTCCAGCGCCCAGGGCCGGCCGGTGCCCAGCATGCGGACGTCCATGTCCTCGCGGCCAGAAGAAAGGAAGGAGGCGTCGGAGCAGCGCAGGCCGGGGAGCACCACCGCCGCCAGGCGCTCCTCCAGCGAGACCCCCCCCCGGCGCTCGCCATCGATGAACCAGGGCGACTGTGGGATGTCGCGCCCCAGCTTGGTGTACCGCCCGCCCAGGTGGAAAGGGGCGCGACAGGCGCGCAGGCCCAGCGTGGCGGGGGCGGGCGGCGGGGCCAGGGACGCCGCCGACGCGGGGCAGGCGCTGAGGAAGGCCGCCGGCGTCAAGGCCGCCAGCTGGTCCACCAGGCGGGCCGACGCCACCATCGCATCTGCATGTGTTTGGGGATCGGGAGTGTGGGATGATAAGTTGGGTGGACGATACTGGAGGGAGTGCATCATGGTCTTGGAAGGGGTCCTAGGTTCCGCAGCCTTCAGGAGGCAATCACTTGGATGGCCCAGGGTTACACAGCAGCGTCTCACAAGTAAACATCCCAGGGGGTCATCTAGCCTGCCATTTCCCTGTACTTCCCGCCAAGGTCCCTCACCCAAAACCCCACCATCTGTACCCTGGTCCCCTCTGTCACCCACCGGCGGGGACGATGTCCTGCTTGCCGTGCCGCCGCTTCCCGGTGTGGCGCCGCCGCCGGCTCTGGTCCACCTGCTGCTGGATGCCCTGCGCCAGCCAGGCGCCCTCGCCCGCAACGCCCGGTGCGCTGAGCGCCAGGGTCAAGCGCAGCCCCGCCCCGGGCGCGCAGCTCGTCCCCAGCACGGCCTCCAGGGGCGGCGTGAATCTGAGGCGCAGCGCCTCCTTCAGGTCCACGTAGGCGCCGGCGCAGGCGCCGGGGTGGCGGACGGCCATCGCCCGAGCGCGGACGGCTGCGGCCGCCGGCAGGCTGACGTCCAGGGAGAAGCCCTGGCCGACCGGGACCTCGTACTTGTCCACCACCGCCTGCACGGCAGGCTGGAGGCTGGCGCTTGGCAGGCTTGCCTCCCCGTCTGCATGGGGTTCTTCCTGCAGGCTGCCCAGGCAGAGAGGGCACACCGGCCCGGGAGAGGGGGCGCCCATGCCAGTTTTCAGGGCATGGGTCTGGAGCAGTGTCATGGTGGCGGAGGGAAGGTCTGGGCTCCCCTCACCCAGAACATCCTCCAGGGAGCCGGTGTATGCATCTGCCGTTCTGCACCCAGAGTGCCGGAGCACGCAGCGCCAGCAAGCCTGGGGTCAGGAGGGAAAGGTCATGAGGCAACAGCATGCACAATGTGATTGCAGCGCGAACAGTACCTCTAGCTCCATCCAGCCTCCCGGGCCATGCATCAGACACCTTGATCTCTTCTAAAGTCGCAATGAGCTGGAGGTGATCATCGCCGTCCATCGTCCAAGCCGGACCGGCCGGGGCGTGGAGTTTGGCGAGTGCTGCCCACCATGCACGTTGGGTGCACTTTGCTACAGGGAGCGCATCAAAGGCACCCTCAACAGGTTTAAGAATGCATGTAGATGGATTCGTATATTGTGGATGATAGATTTGCCCTTGCTATCGTAAGAAATGTCGCCAGCAGTGCTCTGGGCGCGAGTTGGGCTTGGTCCTGACAGCGTGGCACTGCACTCGTTGTCCTTACAGATGTGGACTTCTGGTAGCAATTCGGACTACCGTCGGATGTAAGTATTGACATCCTGGCACTCTTCACATTCGCCTGCGGAGTGGTGTTGCAAATCAGCGCTCTGCCCAATTGCCACCCAAGAAACCAGTGTCCGGGAAGTCCGGGATGGCCACCCTCGTGGCATCCATGGCCCTGCGCGTGCAGATTCCCCGATCCCAGATTTTCCGACACGGAGTTCTGCACCCGTATGCCCGACGCTCGCAGTTCTGTGTCCGCAGCGCGTTGCCTCTGTCCAGACAGGCCTTCACCAGCACCCTCCACCCATCTGACATCCGGCCAAATGTGTCCGGGGAGCTCGACCGCCCACCGGCCAATAAGCCGGCACATGGAGGTATTGAACTCATCATGGGGCCTATGTTTGCCGGAAAGTCCAGCGAGTTGCTAAGACGCGTGGAGAGGCTGGAGGCGGCAGGGTTGACGGTGGCGCTGGTCAAGAGCAGCAAAGATAGTCGCTACTCGAACTCGCATGTTGTCACCCACGACGGCGTGAAGAAGGTGTGCCGGTGGCAGAGAGTGTGTTGCTGGTAAGAATGTCTGTGTATTGTAAAGCCTCTAGTGTCTTCCTGTGAGGGTGGTGGATGTTGAATTGCATCTTGACCTCCAGTTTGTGAGACCCATGGCTTCACCATGGGCCAGCACTCGCGCCATCTCATTGTTCAGTGTCGACCTTCTGCAGGCCTGTTATGCTGTGCCCTCGCTGGAGGTGTTCCGCAGCATGGCAGGGGATCGCTGGGCCAAGTACCAAGTTGTCGCCGTGGATGAGGCACAGTTCTTCCCCGACCTCTTTCACATCTGCAGCTCGACGGCTGATGGGGAGGGCAAACTCTGGGTGCTGGCAGGCCTGGACGGCGACTTCATGCGGCAGCGCTTTGGACAGGTAGGTTTTGGGATGGAGGGAGCGGATACATCCTTGGGGGAGGCGTGCGGATCGGTGCTAGAGTGTCTGTGCCTTGATAGCTAGCACCTCGAACCGTGGGTGGAATTCCGGCCAGAAGATCTAGAGGATGCCAGCGACCGAAACGAGCATGTGTTGGTCTCCAAGAGGCACTGTCTGAGGCTGTTTCTGAGCAAAGCGAGTATGCAAGACATGCCCCAATTAGTTCACCCTCCCCACCTACAAAACGTGCGACAGATGCTGGATTTGGTCCCGCACGCAGACTCCGTGACCAAGCTGACTGCACGGTGCCAGTACTGCGCCCAGTCCGGGGTCACGACAGCCGCGCCCTTCACTGTCCGATTCTCAGTTGCCGACCAGCGGCAGGAGGTGGTGGGCGGTGCCGAGCGGTACGCGGCTGTGTGCCGCCAGCACTTCGGCCGGATGCTGGGCCACGATGCGGCGGCGCCCGAGGGTGACGCCGATGCCCAGGCGGCCACATGAGGGCAGGGACTCGGGAGTTGCCAATCCTGCCCCTTTGATCTCACTTCAGTCTTTCCACGGTTGTCTTGCCAGCCTGCTGCCCTGGCTGAATAGCCCCTCCCATTCTGCCAGCATTTCATGACACTTCTCCCTGACCTTGCAACAAAGTTGACGTTCAATGCCAATTCACGCGATGTGAGCTCCAGGAATTGTCGCGGTTACAGGGCCCCTGCTGGTCATGAAAGGGACTCCCTTGTACGAGCAGATGCCGTCTGCATCAAGAGGCGGGAGGAGTTTGTCAGTAAGTTCCTTTGTACCACTGCCGTGCATCATGGTAACAGCCACGACTCGTCACAATCCCAGGAGCCTCACCTGGAAGCACAATCAGGCTGGGCGCAATCTTCTCAAACTGCTTCTTTCGTGGGTTGAGCTGCGCCTCCGGCTCACGCGTGTACCTGAGTTGAAAGTTGGAAGAATGTTGATAGTTGGTCATGCCATACACGACGCCGATGCGGTACTTCCCTTTGGCATCAGTAAGCATGATGGAATCACATGATGCATCCCCTCAAGCGTAGCCACATGGCGCCCAGACTCGAATCCAGGCACCCCCCCCCAATGCAGTCCTCACCCCTCAAAGGTGATGCGTTCGCCCACCGGCACCCCCTCAGGCACGATGATGGGGTCCACATTGTCATGCGCATCGTTGGATGCACAGAGCACCTGTGGTTGGTAGGGTTGAGGGCGGATGCAGTGGTCATGGTGGCAGCGTTGCCAGGAGGTGCGGCAATCGAGGGCCACGCCACCGACACACCAGAGGCCCTGACACCATGTCCTCCTACCATCCCTTCTGAACCCAGGTGCCTACCATGCCGTAGCTCATCACGTCCCTCATCTTGGCTGGCTTGAGGTTGGTGACAACCACCACTGTTCGCCCCTGCATGGCCTCAATGGGCACAAATTTCACCAGCCCGCTCACGATCTGCAGGCAGGGTTGTAAGGAGCTGCACGTCAGGGCCGGGGGGGGGGGGGGGGGACGTGGCAGATCCTCCTGGGTGATTAGCAAGGACAAGGGCAGAGCACTTTGACACGCATGCACAAGGGTGCGGCATCGCCTCGGGCGGTGCCTCGCAGACGCATGGAGCACTCCTCGAAATAGGGATGGCACGCCACTTCACCTGCCGGGGGTTCTCCTCTCCCAGGTTAATGGTTTCCACATATAGTGACTCTGCATTAGGATGACGCTCCACCGCAACAATCTTGCCCACCCTATGCAAGGGAGGTGGAGGATACCAGGTTGAAGATTAGGGAGCAGGTTTTACCCGCCGAGTCGATGCAAGACCGTCTGCTGATGCAGTGGCTTTTGAGATGCAGCAATGCCACCACACCAACACCAGGTATCAAAGGCATGGGGACGGCAAAATCCTTCATACTCGTCAATGTGTCTCAGTGCACCGCACTGGATCCCACACAAACACACCAAGACAAGGCCTCTGCATACCACCCTTGACTCACCTCAAGTCCAGCAGATCAACCAGTGGTTCCTCGGCTGGGGCCGGTGCAGCCGGTGCAGCCGCCACCTGGGCCTCCTTGGCCTCCTTGGCCTTCTTCTCCTTCTTTGCCCGCGGCTGTTGCCCCTCAGGCCCTGTCGCCTGGGTCCTAGCAGCAGCCTTGGGTTCTGGAGCCGCCTTGGGCCCCTCCTTATTTCCAGCTGTTCCCGCAGCGGCAGCGGGGGCGGGCATTGGTGCGCTGGGGCCGGGGGAGGCGAATACAGGCTTGGAGATCTCCAGGTCCGGGTAGTAGCATGCGGGGTCGGCGGTGAAGTGGATGTGGTCGTACCAGCGGACCAGGTTTGGGAGTTGGGACCGCTCCTTGGGCGGCAGAGAGGACTGTGGGAGGGATGGGGTCACGTGGGCTTGCTGAGGCTGGGATAGGAGTGTCAGTGTGGGGTTGGTTCTCTCTGACAACAGTCCACTCCACAACCTACCTGGCGTCCGCAGGCACCGCGGATGCCGAGGAAGGGCACCTGCTGTGCATGACCCAGCATGCAACATAGCCGAGTGGCCCAGTCCTCACCAGGGCTGGCGCTACGGCGGCATACGTGACCAGATCAGCCAGCGTGAGTGCATTGCCGGCGATGAATGTCCTCGTCAGCAGGTGAGCATCTAGATCCGCCAGGTCTGCGGGAGTCACAGCCGGCAGGTCGCCATATTTCGAAACGTATTCCTCCACCTGGAGATGGGATGGAGAGAGGAGGGGTCAGACGATTCAAATTCATATCTTGAGATGCATTTCGTACACGGGGTCATGTCTCCAGCCAGGCAGTCTTTGTGAGCTGCTGTACACCAAAAGGCCGCACTGAATGTGGAGGATCCCTCAATCCCAGATATCACATTCACCATGCCCAGAACAGACACTCTTTGGGCCTGCCCACCTGGGTCTGAATCTCCTTGGGCTCCACTCCCAAGAGCTGGGTGGTCTGGGTGGAGAGTCCTGTCAGGAAAACAGCAGCCGCCTTCAGGGTACAGCCCGCGGTGCCCTCAGGTACGAGGCATTCCGTGGGGAGAGATTCGTCAAGGGTGATGGTGATGGCATCCGAGGTGCGTCCCACGCTCGTGACCAGAAATAGGAGTCGCCGAGCGGAGTCGGTCCGCACCGCGACGGTCGTGGTCATCTTGATGCACACCGGGTAGAATCGATGTATCTGCGAGGTGTTTATTGCCGCTGAACCTTTGAAGATGCCCTCAAGTGGCTGGCCACTGCCATGCTGGCGGTGTGTTGTGGGCCAGCTTTGGGCGCTTGCCCACGTGGGTCGCCATGCAACCATCAGCCTCCGTTAAGCGGGCATGTCCTCTGGTCCTGCATCGTTCCATTGATCGAAAGTGCAATTATTGCAATTTTGACAGTCCTGGAAGCGCTCCACCGGACCTGGGGTGTCCACCAGTGCCTGTAGCCGTTCGGTGACTTGCACACGATGTCGGCAGCACCCGACCAGAAGGTCTCGCCCCAGCTGCAGCAATTCATCATGGAGGAGCAGGCCAAGGTGAGTAAATATCGAGTGATCACCGCATGCTTGGCGCAGGAATTGGCGTCCTTGGGGCGCATGAGTCATCCCGGGCCCCGCCACCCCTCTGCACGCTCCTCACAGGCCCAACTTCAGCAGACGGTGGCCCGCCTGACAGACGAGTGCTGGGACAAGTGCATGGGCACACCAGGTACTGAAATGGGCGGATTGTACTGTTGGAGCATGGGTCGCAGTCGGCATTGTTGTCTGTGCCAGCCTCCATGAAGGGATGCTCACAGTCGCACTGCCTCTCCAAGCCCAGGTAGCTCTCTCAGCAGCAGGGAAACAGCCTGCCTCGACAACTGTGCTCGACGATTCCTGGACACCACCCAGTTCGTGGTCAAGTGAGTCGACGCCGATGTTGAAGGGAGGGGTTCTGCTGCTGGCGGCGCCTCTCAGATGTTTGGCCATGTCGCTCGACTGCCTGGTTGGCCCCACCCTCCGCCACACCCTCTTGGACAGTGCCTCCCGCAGACTCACCCATGCCCAGTGCCTGCCCTGAGCAGGTACTTCCAGAGCAAGGCCCAGGCACACTCTGGCGGTTTCTGACGCGCCTCGTCCCTTCCCAGGGCGCTTTATTCCCCACCTTGCCTGTGCTTCGCCGCTCACCCCGCACGTCATTCTTTCAACGCATGTGGGTCGAGCAGAGGGGCACTCATGCCCGTGAGCAGCGCACGAGTGCATGTCGTTCGAAACTCAAGAGGTCGGTACAGTCACAAAAAGACCAAGTGTGTATGTATGCATGGCTTGCGAGGGGAGGGGGTGGCGCGGCGCGAGCGCGGGCGAAGGGGGACAGCAAGGGAGATGGGTCTGGCGGCGAGACAAGCAGGTGGCGGGTGAGCTGTGGATCGCGCCCACGGGAGGCAGAGTCAAGAGACGGGGGGCCCGCGCTGGCGAGCCAAGGGAGGCGTGAAGTACTGTCGGATCGAAGGGTGAGGGTGGCGAGAGGTACTGTCAGACTGGTGCTGGAGAGACGAGGCCTGGACCGGGGGGCATGGCAGAGGGATCCAGCGCCACAGCCCCCGTTCGGGGGCAAAGGTCACCCGCTCCGCGGCACGCGCGCGGCCCCCGGTGCGGCCGGCACGCGCGTGAACCCCACCACCATGCGCCGGCAGAAGGGGCAGTGCGGCGGGCGCTTGCCCGCCTGGGTCAGGTGGCGCGCGCAGGACAGGCACAGCGCGTGCTCGCAGCCGGAGAAGGCCACCTCCACGCCCGCGTCCAGGCAGATGCCGCACTCCGCCTCCTCCGGCTCCGCGGTGGAGGCCTTTGGGCTGGCGGAGGGCGAGGCCTCCAGGCCCTTGTCCGCCGCGTCACCCAGTGCGGCAAACACGCGCTCGTCGCTGGTGCTGCGCATGCGCTCGCGCAGCGTGCTCAGCATGGTCAGCACGCTCTGGGACGTCTGCTTTTTTTGGGGGGGGGGGTGGAGGGGAGGGTCAAAGAGGTGTGCGGGTGTAGTCAGGCAGGTGCATCCAGGGAGACGCACTCCACCTCCCCATCCTGTTGTGCGCCTCCCTTTTCCTTCCCCCTCACCTCCCTGCAATCCCTCTAATAACTTCAATAACTTC